AATTAAATAAGACAGAATTAAAATTTTATTTTGAAAAAATAATCTATTAATATTTATCTGAAATATAAATCTTTTTACACTGATTTATAATAAATTATATTTGATTAATACTTATTTTTCTTATTTATAAAATATTAATAATTAAAAATTTTAACTTATATTATTTATTTTAATTAAAAAGATTTTCAAGTTTTATTTATGTAAAAAATTTTAATTTATTAATTAATATATATTCTTGTTTTATTTTTAGTTCTTTTACTTGAAAGATAAATAAAAAAGATTAAGTTAATATACTTAATAATTTTTGATTTATATACTTGTAAATATAAATATTAGAAAAATCTTGGTTTCACTCACTACTATAAATAATTCAGTCTATATTTCAATTATTATTATAAGTTATATCTTGAATAAAATCTATCTAAAAATAGCTTGTAAAAATATATCATAAAAGAATTGAAATCATACAAAAATAATCTGATTTGTCTAGTTATAATGATTCAAATGATCAATTTTGATTGCCTATATCAGAATACTTTCTTTATAATTTTTCTTTTAATAAAAAAATCACAAATTTTTTAAATTCAATTTTTCCTGTATAATTTTTTTTTGAAAGCTAAACTTTTCAAGCATTTAAAATTTTTATTTTTATTTTAATAGTTTGTTTATATAGCTTGATATTTAAAATTTAAAAGTGTTCACTTCTGCTAGGGCTTGAATATTTAAAGAACATGTGCATCAGTCTGACAAACGTATCTGGACAAGCTCGGAAACTGGAAAATCAACGAACTTTAAACGCCAATTGTAGTTAGAGATGTATTGGTTCGGTTTGAAACCAGTTTTTGAGACCGGTTTCAGACCAGTCAAACCGAACAAACCAGTTCAAACCGAGATCATCAAGGTTTTATGCACTACATGTAGGTTTAGCAGAAAATCGACCTTTTTCTCGAAACAACATGCAGGTGGGCGTTATTTCACGAAAATAAAGGTTAATTTGATTACAACCAAATCTCTATTACTCCTCCTATTTCAATTTGAGTTTATTATTATTTGGTTAATAAAATATAATTTTATAATCACATCTCTTTATTTCATCCAATTTAATTATTCCAAAAATAATGATTAAATAATAATACCAAAGCATAATCATCTAATTTTAATTCTTCTCAAACAAATGATTCTTTGATTATAAATAGGCTAACAACATTTAAATTTTTTATAACCAATATTATTAGTGTCAACTATCTGGTTAATGGGCTGCTAAATGTGAAATTATGCTTTAGTGAAGTATCATACGGGTGCATGTGGATCAACAAAAATCATCCAATTTGATTAATAAATTTTTTAAAAATTATGCTACTAGAATAATTTTAAAATATCAGTCAAGTAATTGTTAACATTGGGGAGTGTAATTGTCGAATTTTTGCACTGAAATTTCCAATCTGCCCTGCCCTTGACGTCTATCTTTCAATCCTCATCCTGATATACATAAAATATATTAGACCAATTGTTTTATTGTGAGTCCAAAGCGCTGGCAATTCCGTTTGATTGATTCATTGCATTGAAGGGCTTGTAATAAGCGCACAAACCGGATACCAAACGTTCCCTGAATGTATAGATAATAAGATAGAATGGATAGAAAATAATTTTTGCATATGTCTGTCTTGAGTAGTTATTGCAACGAGTGTTGAAGTTCCGGCGTTTGTGTTTCCGCATATTTCAGGTCATCTCGCCATTGTTCTCTTAACTCGTCCAATCTTCTCCCTTGAAACGCCTTCTTATCTCTCAGCTCTTTAACAGCTATTGTGAATAATTTTTCATGTACATGTATCACTAATTACATGTACCTAGTAAATATTTGCAAATGCTAATTTTCATTTTAATCGTCTTAAGCGAAAATTCGTTTTTCTTGAGCATTATACACCGATACGAAAGCGTGACGTTAAAAATTCAAAATGGGAATAAAAATCGGTAGTTTTTAATTTTATTTTATACTGCATGAACAATACTTAAAAGTAATGTACGTATTGTGTGTGTGTACCGGTACATTATTGACACATGTTCAATTTTTTTAACTTTTTCGTTTTTAAAAAATGTTTTTGTCGAAAATTTTTCTTTTAAAGTGAACACATCAAGTATCAAGAAAGATTCTTGTCTAAAGGGAGATAATTTAACCAAAAAAAAAAGGAAATGTGTATTTTTTGGGAATGGATTTATCTAATATTTGGGCGTAATTTCCCAATATAATAAAACTTATTAAATAACCAAAAATTTATAGATTTTACATTGCGCAAAATACCTTTTTGTTGGACTATTTAATGTAACGAATTTAAGAAAAATGATATCAATATTTGCTTTCACAAAAAAATGTAATATTTTGACATAAATAATTAATGTTAAGTAAATCTACCTTAGCGTTAAAGACATCTTTCACTTCAAAAGCCCAAGAAATCAATTCATCATCCTTAGAATGGTCAATTCCGCGATACAAGCGTAAAGCTCGATGAATATCTTTATTTGTGCCCCAACCATTCCGAAAACATCTCGCTAGCCAAAACTTTGAGCAATCCATTCCAGCCTCGGCTGATCGCTTATACCAATAAAACGAATCCTGATTACTGACAGGTGTTCCGATTCCCCAACGGTAACAATCCGCCAGATTGTATGCTCCCGTATAGTTTCCATTTTCTGCAGATTTTTTTGCCCAGTAAAAAGCCTTTTCATTATTTTCCTCGGTACCAAATGCGTCAGAATAACACCATCCAAGTTGTGTTTGGCCAATCGGATCATTGTTTTCCGCTGAAATTGAGTACCATTTGAACATTTCTTCCAAATTTACTTCAGTACCTATCCCGTAATGATATAGGAAGCCCAGTAAACAAGCGAATTTTGATGTCGTTTTGTGCATGAGTACATTCTGAAATAATTTTGTTTCTGAAATTTTTGCTATTGCTAAATAATCTTCTATACATTGTAGAAGAAATTCGTCGTTTCTGCCCTGATTGTTGATTGATGAAAACTTTGTGTATAATTCTTCAAGACAATTATTGTTATTACATGTACATGTGTTTGTCATTTTCTAGGGGGTTACGGTTACAGGACAGTGTATAGAATACATCATGTCGCATGCTTATTTATGATCAACGTGAGTAGCACAAATTATTATTGGTAACGACAGTATTTAATATTAACATGTTAAGATGAATTCAACTCTCAGATAATTTTCTCTTGGTATAAGCTATGGTGAAGATTTTTTCCTTGTCCAGATATCTTCACTATAGCGAGTGAGTTGTACTTGGATTGGTTTTATCTTTTACACATTCCCATATGAAGTAAACCAATTTAAATGAAAACTGACCAAGACATATAATGAATCACGCATTTCATCCATCCAATAAAAAAACTTGCAATAGAAATATCCAAATATTAATTCAAAGAATTTTGATTACAACATAATGATTTTTGAAATAAAATTTATGATGTGCTGCGAGCGGATAGGTTTAATATGCCAACCTTCACTATCTCAATTATCAATTATAAAATGGATTCTAAAATCCTAACCTCGAGGTTTCTTATTCTTAAAAACCATTCGCATGAATTTAGGCAAATTGATTTCTTCTTGATAATTGTTTCGTGATATTCGCAATAACCAACGCAAAGACGTATGCTTATCCCTTAACGTTGTTTCTCCCACCAAACACCATTTGATCATCTCACATTGAGCCTTCTTTAATCCTTTCTCGGCAGCTTTTTGATGATAATGAAATATTACTTTTGGTTTACTTATATAGCGAGAAAATTTCAACGCCCCTTGCGGATGACCTAGAGCAGCCGATTTCTGATACAATTCTACTGCCTTTAGACGACTAAATGGAACAGATCTACCAAGTCGATAAAATTTTCCCAATTGCACCAATGCAAATCCGTCATTATTTGCCGCGGCATGTTGATAAAATTGGAATGCGGAAGCCGGATTACGACGTTGAAGACCAATCCCAAATTCAAAACAAAATCCCAGAATACATGAATACTTTGGTGATACGCCTTGGAGTTGTAGTAGCTTTAGAATCTGTTGCTCGGTTTTTTTGTGTTCTATGATCCATTGTTTTATTGACAAGGCGATAAATTCGTCTGCATGGATCGATGTTTGTTTGTTATAAAATTGTAAAATTTCTTCTGCAATTAGTGTGTTGCTGCTTTTGCGTGTTGGTTTGAAGTCTATTAATTTTATTGAAAACATTTTACATTATTTTTTATCAGAAGCAGTTATTTTGATAATAGTTACGAATTCACATTACGTATTTGAATGGTCGTTAGTTGATCGATCGATTGATTGATATACATGTGCATGTACCTTATTAGTTAATGCTTAGTTAAATGCGCAGTATATTAACTATGTCATATGCAACTGCGCAACCTTTATTTTTAGAATTATCTTGCATTCAAAATGGCTCTCTTAGCAGCGGAAGGTTTCGATCCTTCGGCCTCGGGGTTATGAGCCCCGCGCGCTTCCTCTGCGCTACGCTGCTTTGCATAATCGCTGCTTTTAGTTTTTATTGTATCTATTTATACATTTCATTGTCCCGCTTTTTGATAATGACTCACATTGGAGAAATTTATGGACATGTTGAGCCATAAGAAAGGATAATTTCTGTCAAACACCGGAATATTATTGATTCCGATCTCGTGACTCAAATCACATGTCACACGAAAGCCAACCTAAAGGAATGCAATTACAGAAGTAGTATTGCCTAGGCAAATCCCTTTATAACATGCCACGACAATACAATTGCAGACTTCAGTAATTACTGCAAATTCTGTCTATCATTATGATGATCAAACTTAAAAAATTAAAGAATTTGGTAACTTTGGGATGCGATATCTAGACATCCGGTGGTCCAATTTGGACAAAACTAGAACCATTAGATTCGTCTATCTTAGTTTAAATTGGACCGTTGAATGTCGAGATATAGCGTCCCAAATTACCGAATCTTTAATTTTTTAAGTTTGATCGTCATAATGATAGATGTTTTTTTTAAATGTTCGTTATGCAAACATACAAATCACGTTTAAACCATACGGATTCTGCAAAATCTGCAATTGCAGATTCTGTATTCACAGAAAACTGGACAATCACTTCTCATTAAAACAATCACATCACATCATTGCAATAATTTTAATATAAAGTGACTACCGACTCACTATTGATTTCACATTCAAATAAGTTAGCCGAATTTTACGAAAAGGGCAACTTTTGCGATATTTCAATAATTGCTGGCGATGGAAATGCATAGCGCACCTTTACCGCACATTCGTCAATTTTAATGGCGCACTCCCAATATTTGGCTACGGCACTTTCTGATGCGTGGATGAAGCGAGAACCATCTAAAATGATCGTTTTTAAGAAACCAAATATCTCACCACGCACGTGTATTTGAAATCTTATTGAGGTAAATTTAACTAACAATGTTAATGGTTAATATACGAGACAAACAAATAAAATAAGATTAAATTTATTTTAATATGTGTTAGATATATGTACTGCGGCAAAATTGACTTGAAAGAACATGGAGTGCAAACACTTTTAGACTTATTGATTATTGTAGATGAATTATTCTTGAGCATCTAATCGAATACATTCAAGACTTTCTTTTGGAGCACCATATTGACTCTATGACTGAAAATTTTGCCTTAATTAATCAAATCGTATTCGAACACAACTCTTTCACGAAACTTCACAAATTTTGCACAGATATTGCATGTGAAAATCCTGCTGCTGTTTTTCAATCGAATGATTTTGCAAAACTGCAAGAAATTGCATTAGTTTCTTTGCTCAAACGCGATGATTTGAATCTCCAAGAAATCGATATTTGGGAGAAGGCTCTTGAATGGGGAACTGCTCAAATCTCCGATTCTGAGAATGTTGATTTTTCGATCCCCATAGAGAGATGGACACAAAACGAATTTACACACTTAAAATTCACACTTAAACAATGTTTATCGTTGATTCGTTTCTTTCATATAAACTCAGTTGATTTTTACAATAAAGTAATGCCCTATACGGAACTCTTATCAGCTAAATTATACAAGGATTTATTGCATTATTACTTGGTTCCTGGAAGTGAAGATTTTCAAGCTAACAAACACCCCATTCGAAATGTTCATGAAAATTTCGATAACTCCACAGTACTTACCCGAACTCAATTCAAAAAAATAAGGGAATGGATAAAGTCGCAAGATACAAAAAAGAATTCATTCGATTCAAAGCTATTGTTACGAGGTAGTCGAGATGGATTATCTGCCGCTGATTTTCATCGACTTTGTGATAACAAAGGTCCAACAGTTGTTACCATTCGGGAAAATCAATTGGTGGATATAATCCATTAGAATGGAATTCAAAAAACCTATACTATGACGAACCAAATAGCTTTTTGTTCCGATTTGATCCAAATGAATCCGGTGGACTTATAAGCAAATCTATTGCGAAGACTAATGTAAGTTGTTTTCAAAAGTATGGGCCAATAGTTGGCGATGGGTATGATTTGGTCTTATTTAATCCATACATTCATAATGATAATTATTGTCAGAAAGAATCATATGAACATGGTCTGTTGAGCACTGATAGTGGACGAATTACTTTTGGGATTGATGATTATGAAGTGTTTCAAATTGTGCAAAAATAACTTTATTTTGTGGCTAATATAGAATTATCCTAACGGATCTCTTCAATTATAACAGCAGACATGAACTATTATCAATATTTTTAATAAGAAACTATTGAGTAGTATTTGCATGAACTTTTAGTTTGTAGCTTCATATTTGTAAAGGATCTAGAGTTTATTAAATTCCAAGTTAGGTCAAATTTCTAACTAACGTTAATAGAAAAATCTAAGAGACGAAAGTTTTAAATGTTTCTTTAGCTACATAATTGAAAAATAATGGTTATACATACATGATGATAAGCTTGTTTGAAATTGTATCAACTTTATGGATGAAAGTGCGAGTATTATTAGTATACGCGCAGTATCCTTCATGTAAGTATAGTTCTGTACTATTGAAATAAGAACACAAATGTAATTGTATTTGTCACAGAGCTGTATGTAATACTACTATTTTAATCACAAAATTACGTGAACTCTAAAACAAAATGATATTGTTTGGCACATATTTTACTGCAGTTTTCTGCATGTGATATGAGTTTAGAAAAAGTAACCTGTAAAAAAACTCCGCCTAATACATGTACATATTGATAGTACAGTACATTATTGGAAAAGTAAAAGGAATCTTGGTAGAGTCTCCTAAAATTTGAAATTCAAATTCGATAAAATCGTAACCAATCAATTAATCAATCAATCAATCATAAAGAAACTTAATTAATCACATTACCTCGTCCTTACTAACTATCAAAATATCCCCTGTCGTTTGCGAAAGAACGTCCACCATGAACATTGTTTTCACCGGTTTACCATCACAATATCCTAATGACACCGATGAGTTCTTTGCGAACCACATTCCTAAGAATTCATGATTTGATTGAGGTCATCACTCAAGAAGCTGGAAATCATTATACCTTTACATACTTCCCCCTCCTTGTCTGGAATGGGCACCCCTATTTCCTTCACGCAAGATTCCACATACTCCACAATTGCTGGTACAAGATGGTGTCAAGGATGTAATTAGTCTCAAGGGATCGCAAGATGTCTTTGTCCCATGAAACATACGATGTGTGATCCTATCAGCTGAACCAGCAGTTCTTGCCATTTCATTTTTCAAAGCAAGATGCTTATCAACCATGAGTTTTGGCATTTGTAATCTAAAGATTGCTTTAATTGTCGAATTTGGCAGATTTTGATTGAATCTTTTATATGCTTTCTCATAATCGATTTGATTCGGATAGAGAATGGTCATTTTGGTTTGATTTAACGTGGAACCATCCATCCAGAAACATTCTTTTGAACAAAAAGAATGCGATTTTGTTCTATCCGCTGGATCAAGATAGGCTTTTCGATTGCATCCAAATCGAATACAGTTTGGTCCTGAATTGTTGTGGAGACTTGCGCATGTTACACCACAAAAGGGATATTTTTGGCCTCGAAAATCGACGTATACCGTTTTATTGCAATTGGCACACTTCGGTAGAGCTGGTGAGATACTCGCGGCGATGCGAGCGCATGTTTTTCCGCAAAATGAATATTGAGTGCCATTCAATTCAACGTAACAGGGTCTAGTGCAGCCTGGATTAGCACACGTGTTCACTTGCGATTTGAGAAGAGAATCTACAATCGCGCAAGTTCTGCCACAGAAAGGATGAATATAATTATTGGGACCAACGTAACATGAGTTTCCACAACCTGAACGAGTGCAAATTTGATTATTAGACATGGAGTGAATTAATAAATTACAGGCAGAGAATCAATAGCTCTATATTTATAGTTTGTGTTTTAATTTCCTTTGTTTCGATGATGAATAATGATGAATAATGATAAATAATGAAGTATAATATACATTGTCTTCTATATTGATCAAATAATCATATGAATACAAAAATTAGATATGATCCCTGATTCAAAAGGGGGGACTCCAATACATCTAACTCCGAATCTTTTTTGCCATAACATGATGATTATTTTCTCGATTAATATTATCAACCAGATCCACAAATTCCTGACTGACTGATTTACAATTAATCATATAAACCTGTGACAAATATCGCTTTTGAATTTTAAAGAAAGATTCAAAAATCTTTTTTGTTAATGTGCTACACTTTATAAAAGAGAGAATTCGGAGTGATTGAATTGCTTCCGTATGACTAAAATTTTGACCATCTCGAAAACTTGTCTCGATAAATTCGATTTCTATGAGGTTTCGAGCTACCGACTTCAACGCGATCAATAAATTATCGATCATGTCAAATTCCTTGAATCCTTTGATAACAAATCTCTTTAAATTTGGGGAAGGTGACATGTTCTCTAAAAATTTCACGCAATGATCAACAGCACGTCGTCGACCGAAGCACAATTCCATGGTATTCTAATAATTTGCAATGAATTTATGAGCGATATTTATAAATCGTTCTCACGTTCAAAAGATTAATTTGCTCACCAAATTATTTGAAAGAATGGTAATCGAATGTCGAGGATAATCATACGCGCCACAGAAAAATCGATATGATTTTACATTTGAAATCCAAGAAGCAAGTTCCGGCCTTTTCTCAAAGAAACCGATGATTCCGTTAGCAAAATTCGTTTCTGGTATTCCGTAAATTGATTGGATCCTCGCCCCGTCCTTTTTCATCAACCGCAATATAGCATTTATCACTCTCCAAAATGAAGCTCTTCTTCCATTCCTAACGCACCATAAATTCACCGATTCAATCATCGCGCGAAAATTTAAATGTCTAACGAAACGGGCATACGCAAATAATGGCTTTTTCCTTGGTAGAAGAATATCAAGTGTCATTATGGCCACTTCTTCTATTAAAGGTGTCTTATGTGGTTGATTTTGTTGTTTCGCTTTTAATTGCGAAAGTTGATTTGTGGATAATAAATTCAAGAAGGTATCAACGAGAACACATTGCTTTTTAATGCTCGAACAATTGTCGTAGAATGGATTACTCCATAAAATAGGCATCGCTACTTTGCACCATTGACGATTCACGAGAATACATGAATATAAATCTCTCGTTGAAATAATCTCATCGGAAGTGAGCAAATTTTCTAGAATATCAGATAATATTTCACTTGGAAAAGAAGTGAAATTGATCTTTGTTGTTGGAAAACTCATATCAACAATTACAAATTACGTGAAAATGTAACAGTAAGATTGTCTTTATGGTTTCACTTGTTTCACAATAGGTCATATTCACATGATAACCCGGAAATATTTTTTTTCACGCATAACCGTAAAAGGGAATTCTGTTTTAGAATCTTAGTTCTCGCAAGAATTTTTATTGGAATACTGATACACATGTGCTTAACTACATGTAGTTAACGTTAATATTAATGAGAAAGAAAATAAATTAATTGAATTAACTAAAAAAGGGAATAATCCTTATCGTGTATAGATGTCCATCGATTTTCTTAGCGATTTAGAAAAACGTCCCTAAGCATCTCAGGAGCATCTGGACTCCCATTTTCGATAGCACGTCGATACCATTTTATGGCTGTATGTAAATCTTTGTGTGTTCCTATTCCGACGTGATAAATTATTCCAAGACTTTCTTGTGAATGCATGTACAAAGAATCGATACCAACTTCATGACTACACCAATACAACGCTTTCATCCAATTCTTTTTCGTTCCAATGCCAACTAAATAGCAATATCCAAGACTATTTCTTCCGAGTATATAGCCGGCATTCGCCGATTTCGTAAACCATTTGAAAGCCTCTGCCCCGTTTTTCTTTGTCCCTCTACCTTCTTGATAGCATTCCCCTAGTAGATATTGTCCGCGAGCATTACCAGCTTCTGCTGATTTTTTAAACCAGTCAAAAGCTTTTTTTGGGTTCTTCCTAGTACCGATTCCAAACGTGTAACATTGTCCAGTTTCAATTTGTGCATTGGAATTACCAGCTAATGAGGCCACACGATACCATCGAAACGCTTTTTCTTCGTTTTTTAGGGTGCCGATAGCATATCGATAACAAAGTGCCAAGTGACATTGTCCATTCGGATAGCCTTTTCTCGCCGATTTTTGGAACCAGTAAAAAGCTAATTTCAAATCTCGTTCAGTTCCTATCCCATTATAATAACAAGTTCCTAAATTACATTGTGCGACAGGATATCCATTCTCTGCTGATTTTTTATACCAATGAAATTCTAAATCCGGATTCTTCTCGGTTCCAAAGCCAACGTTAAAACATCCGCCAACTTGATTTTGTGCAATCATATTATTATTTCGTTCGGCGGCAATTTTATACCAATGAAAAGTTTCGTCTGGATTCACTTTTGTTCCGATTCCCCAGTGATAGAAAAACGCGAGCAATGGCGTGTATGTTATATCTCGCAATGATTCCATGTAAATTTTTTCAAAGAGTGTCGTGGCAGATTGAGCATTTATTTCCAGCCAATGTTGAATACGTTCGACGATTTGCTGGTCGTCCTCGAAACGCTCGTTGCCTTTTGTCCAAATTGAGAATATTTGATCCAGTGTGGAAGGTTTTTTATTTTGAAGGAATATATTCGAAAGTCTACTTCTTCGAAGTCGCTGCATTTGAGTGCGTGTAGTAGCTTAACTGAATGATGGTTGGTGATGATGATGATGATGACGATGATGATGATGATGATGATGAGAGTGTGTTTGTCGCTTTTTTTTTTGTTTAGTAAAAAAGAAGAAACAGCGACAGCGACAGCGAAAAAGGGATGAATGATGACAATAAAATGAATGAATGTATTAGTGAGTGGACGAATAAAATAAAAAATAAAAGATATTCCTATAGATATATTGATATCGATACGAGCTTGCTTCATTTAAATATGCAAAATAATGATAAATCAAATTTATGTACACACAAATAAATTGTAATAGTAAGGTAAAACATTGCATCGTTAATTTTTTTCTACATATTTAGTTATCGTTATCGTTATGCTGCTGCTGTGTTCTACATGTATCTGAAATTGGTATTTCTCTTAACCTGCTGCAAGCAAACCAATTTTTAACAGTACGTGATACAAGAGTTCGTGTACATGTATGCGTAAATTTTATTAACGCAATGTGAACATGGCCAAGAAAGGCGTGAAAAATAGAAAATTAAAGTATGACTTTATAATACATGTACTTGTAATATGGCCTCGAATATCCTGCCAAGTAACATTAGATTAAACCTTGAATATCCTGCCAAGTAACATTTTATTAAACCTTGAATATCCTGCCAAGTAACATTTTATAAAAGATTCTTATTACTTCTATAACGTGCAAATGTAATTATTAAACGTAATTATATGTAATTAAATGTAATGTAATAGTAATGTATGTATGTAATTTTTCTTAATCTCTATATGACATGTATTTAAAAGGGGAGATTACGAGGTGGAATAGATCCTGAATAAACAACAGAACCACCAGTTTTAGTTGTGTCAGATGCATCAATATATTGGAAATTTGCTGTTTTGTTGCTTGCTGTTAAAGAAATATGCAAGAAACCTGGGGTAAGATCTCCCCAAGTGCGACCATCACATGTATCTCCTAATTTACTTCCAGACCCCGAAATGAAATACGAGACCGGCTCAGAAGCAGAAGGTGCTTGGTATTCTAATGTGTGAGCATGACCGGAGAAATAAGCTGACACATGATAATTTTCAAAAAGAGCCGAAAGACGAGTCATGTTTCCGGTATTTTTGCAGCTGGCCACCAAAGGGTGGTGACCAACTACGAAAATCCATCTTGAGTCTTGATGTGCGATAAGTTCGGTTTCGATCCAGCCGAGTAATTTCTCAACATTATCATTTTTATCCCATCCTTGTTGAACAAGAGAATTGTACATTGCTGGTTGTGACTGTTTCAATGAAACGAGATCGGTATAGTAAAATGGATCCGTGTCAATGTGAATCCAGGCTATTTTCGCTTTATTAGGGCCTACAAGTGATACACGAGTATAGTATAATGCGGGCAAGAAGAATCGTGCATCTTTGGTGAGACTGTAATCGACTTCGGCAGTTACGTTATTATACCTATTTTGTAAGTTGTAATTTAAATATGTTAATAAATTAGCCAAGGAAGGAAACATTACAAACGAGTAAAATATAATTTACCATTCGTGATTGCCAGCCACACTATACCATGGAATGTTGGCTAATGCACCGGTATAAGTAGCTTTCCAAATGGTATTGAATTTCGGGTCTGATGAATTGCTCACTCCATCATAGGTGTAGGGTCCACCAACATAGAAACTGTCTAGATAAGATGAAAAAAAATCAATCGAACTTTAGTATAATGTTGATGAATTGGATGAATAAATCACTTTCGGCTTACTTACCACCAACATTTATGATAAATTTGGAGTTGAATCTTTCGGTGGTTACCTTCAAAGCATTAGCAACTTTGGTTTGGTTTTGTCCAGGAAATCCCCAATCTCCAAGTACAGAGAAATCCAGAGTGTCATCAGGGTAATTTTCCAAGAAGTATTTAAATGTAGGATTGAGAATAGGAATAGGACCAGCAGCGTAACTCTCATTAATTATCCCGCCGTTGAAAAGAATAAAAGATACGAGCACACTAAAGGAGGAGAAAACTTTTCCGTTAACCATGATTACAAAATTCTTTTTTTTCTTCTTCTTGAGTAGATTCAAGCGATGAAAAGAAAAATTTTGGTTGAGACAAGAATTTTCTTCTTCCTCTATTTATCAATCTGTGAATGAACTTGCATATAGCAATGCCAACCGAAAATACAGCCAATAAGAATTCAAAAATAATGGTAATGGGGAAGGCTCGGACAAAATTGATGCCTATTTAAAATTCGAAGAGGCACATTTCTTCTTGAGACGTGAAAATTAACACGCACGTTTGTAAAAAATTTATTGTTGATTTGTTCTGGGATTGTATTTACGTTTACAACAAAATTTAAAATGTTTATTTGGCGAATATGCATGCATATGTATTAGAAAAATATTGAACAGCGTCAATAGAGTAACATCAATAACGATTAACGTTAACGATAAGATCTGGGAAATGATTTATATCAAACTTTTTCCGTATTAATAATTTCCCTGTAGCAATGTTAGTTTCGAACGAAAAATCAATTGAAGATGAAAAGCAATTTTATGATAAAATACTTTTTTTATATTCCTTCTTTCCATTATTGATATTTACCGTTGTGAGTATTGTAGCTGCGCCATACGGTTAGTAGACACAAACCATGTGGTAAACTTGCGTTACATTTCACGCGAAAGTAGAAGAGTAGTAAATTTACTATAACGAGACGAGAATTCCGTGCACAATACATTATATTTATTTTAGAATTTTTAATTTAATTTAGGAAAATTTCAATGGGAAAACTCGAAAAAATTGAGATTTCCAGGGAAACCATCTTGGTTGATAATGGAAATCGTATCTCCTCTCACATACCTCTACACTATTTTTCTTTCACCTCTCGCACATCCATCAACACTTTCAACTACACAAATTTTATTCTCATCTCTTTGGATAGGTCACTATTTTTACCGTGCTATAATATACACCTATCTGGCACCGAATATTTCCCCAATGCATATTTTCACTACACTCGGCGGAATTCTATTCAATCTATTCAATTCATACACAAACGCACAATGGATTTCACTTTTTGACAAATATCCAAACATGGAAGAAAAAGGATATTTGAGATTGGTAATCGGTATTTTGATTTTCTTTGTCGGATTCTTCATTCACGTGTACCATGACAATTTGTTATTTTCATTACGAGCAAAATCTAAGGATGCAACACAAAGATACGCGATTCCATACGGCGGATTATATCGATTCATAAGTTGTCCTAGCTATTTTGGGGAGACAACTCAATGGTTTGGATTTGCCATTGCAACTTGGTATAGCCCGCCAGCTATTATATTTGCATTAGCTACACCCGCTAATTTGTTACCAAGAGCGATATCCACGCATACTTGGTATAAAGAGAACTTTAAAGATAAATACCCAAAGGACCGAAAATCAATTATACCATTTTTATTTTAAATATTACAGTATATAAATTATTTATAAAACCTTTAATAGAAAATTATTGTGATATTTCAAATTAGAACATGTGTGGATAGCAACCAAACAAATTTTTTTTTATAATATACAAGCCACATTAAGTTACATGTTATATCTATTTTGTAACGCAAAGCAAGAACATGTGAAGTACCAAGGGATCAATGTGAAACGAAAAAATTCAAAAACAAACATTTAACGTTAATTTTGAAAAAATACATGTAGCGGTAGTCTGTCTGCATCTTTATTTTCACCATAATTGAAATGACATGTATTAATATTTCGATTTGATTGGTTTACCCCTCAAAAATCACATGATCTGCCCTTTCTAAAACATGTGTAACATACAATTAAGTTTAGTCACTTGAGCAACGCCTTTAAATTATGTCAATTGTTACATTAATTTTGTGAAGCATAACCATCATTGCCCATTTTACTAAAACATTATCCGAAAGTTTAAAATCGCAAATGGCTTTGTCGATTTTGTTCATTTGTGTTTAACGTTAGTAATAATGATTTAAATAGAAGAAAATTGTCCAAATAAAATGATCGAGGCTTGTATACAATTAATGTACAAGTCGTGTTCTAATCATCAAAGGAATGTCAAATAAGACAGTGCTACGCGGAAATAATTTGGCTGTAAATGCGGAATAACCGGTTGTGAATGATCCATTACTAATCTTTCTTTATTTAGAAGACCTTGCGAAAGTTTTCTAGCTATTATATTCATCAAAGATTCGTTTTTACGATTGATAACAAGGAATGTTCGGCTGTGATTCTATTTTTTATTATAAATGTTTATTAGAGATGTAAATATTATTAACGTTGATACAAATGTTTATTTAGTACCGGTACATATTAATATCGATAAACAAAGAACATGTCTCTGGTATTTATTTAAATGCATGATACATACACATGTAATCAAAACTACTCTACTGTATGACAGCTACATTGATCATTTTACTATAATTTATTGATCGAATGTCATTTATATTACTTAAGTATAAAGAAAAGCGCAGAATTCTGAACGATTCACATAAATATCGCACTTATTTTTCTAGTTTCATCTGATTGAGATTTTTTGTCATAACTATTTCCAAGTAATTATGTTTGATTTCTTGCAAAAATTCTAATAAAGTTACAACTGATATGTTAAGATATTTTTTGTCCTATTCTTGGACATTATATAAATAACTGTTAAAAATTTCTAGGTAAAAAATTGATATGATAAATTATATATTAATACATGTAGTTAGCTAACATGAGTTTTGATTTAATAGCAATAGGCCCAATGATACATGTACATAATGTAAACCAAAAATTTATCGTTATGATCAAATTTGTAATTAAAAAACAATTACTTTTCTAGAAAGAAGATACCATTAAATCGAAAATTATATAGCTAAAGAAACACTTTTATATTAAATAAATTTTCGTTTCTCTCTTAAATATTTTGGAAAAACTCTTAGTTAATTGATTTTAATTACAATAACTACTTCAATAAATTCTAGATGCTTTCAAAAATATGAAAGCTACAAAACAAATAAACTCTAAACGGATTTTTATTAAAAGTTTTAATAATAGTTTATTCTTTTATATGTTGACAAAGATAATTCTGATTAGCTACAAAAATCAAGCTATTTTTGCACAATTTGAAACGCTCCATAATTAATAATCTCAAAAGTAATTCGTCCATTATTAGAGATCATGTTTATATACCCATGAACTTGATGACACATTTTATATTTTCATTTGCTTATAAGTCTATTGCAATGGATTATATCACCAATTATTTTCCCAAATCTTTAACCCAAATGGCAACTACTGTCGGTCCTTTGTTGTCACAAAGTTGATGAAAACCAACGGCAGATAATCAATCTCGACTGCCTCGTAACAATAGCTTTAAATCGAATGAATTCATTTTTGTATCTTGCGACTTTATCCCATTACCTTATTTTTTTGAATTTGATTTATGATAAATATCATGGAGTTATCGGAGTTGTTATTAGAATTACGAAGGGGGTGTTTGTTAGCTCGAAAATCTCACTGGTCGAACAGGATAGGTTTCACCTGTGATCTAAAGTGAATGTATAAGTAAAAGTATTTTAATATGGATTTTGACAAGACGTCAAAACTATGTAGGATATTTTGTTATGGATGGTTACACTGTAATCTGAAATCGATAAGTAGTATATATCGATATACATGTGCAATTAAACCTTCCTAAGTGCATCCCTGGAAACATGCAAAAGGAGGTTTTGGTACAATTTATAAAGCAACCTGATTGGATGGACTATATCGATATGATGATGATTATTATACCAAATGGGATCATGAAGAAAATAAATTTAAACGACGAGGAGAAAGTGAATTTAAACGAGAAAGTAAAGTTGTGTTGAAAAATCATTACACTATTCAAAGAAAATTACTCCAGAGTTTATGAACGAGGTAAAAAAATGAGGATTTTCTAAAGTGAAAGTTGTTTTTTGTTTCTAATACAATTAAATTTTCAAAAAATAGATCCAGGCTACTCAGTGATAATTACGACGATATTATTGATTACGTAATAACTCAAAACCCAGTTACAAATGAATATTCGATAGTGATGAAATTGCATGATTGTCGTGAATGTTTTAATTGTCAAATTAATAAGGGCTGCAGACAATGTTTCAAATATCACAAACGAATTTATAACGGTAAATTGTCGAGCGGAGATAAAGATATCGACAATCTAATTAAAGAATACAACAAAATTAATTATAAATATCAAAATATCTTCGAATGGATTCCTTTTGAAAGATTTACCAACATTTAATACCTTGAAAAAAAGGAGGTTTTGGTTCAATTTATAAAGCAAACTGGTTGGATGGTTCATTGGAATATTATAAAGGTCATTATAAATATCATCTTAGATGGGATCATGAAGAAAATAAATTTGAACGAAAAGAAGAAAGAAAAGTTATGTTGAAATCATTGCACAATTCAAAGCAAACTACGCCAGAGTTTATAAATGAGGTAAAACATGAACATTTCTAAAGTGAAAGTTGTTTTTTCTGATAAATCAAATTTTTTAAAATAGATTCAAACTGGGCTTAAATGTTATGATTACGGTAGTTTGATAACATATTATGGAATGACTAAAAATCCAGTTACAAATGATTACATAATAGTAAGGACTAATGCGTTCTATGGTGAATTTCACAAATATAAGGTGAACTCAAAGATGGAATCAAATACTCATCATTGTAATGATTGTACTGATTGTCAAAAGAATTGACACTGCGATGAGTGTTTAGTTCACAATACTCATGATTGTAGTAATGTACTGAATGTTAAAGTAAATATGGATATTGCATTGACTGTTTCAAATATCACAGACGAATTTATAATGATAAATTGTCTAGTAGAGATAATGATATTGACAATCTCATAAAGAATGCAACAAAATTAATTATAAAAATATTATTCGAATGGATTCCTTTTGAAAGATTTACGAACATTGAATATCTTGCAAAAGGAGGTTTTGAATCACTTTATAAAGTAATGTGGTGGGATGGATCAATTGATGAATGGCATCATAAAAAAAATACATTTGCACGTCAGGGTTAGGGTTAGGGTTAGGGTTAGGTTTTAAGTATTAGTACAAAAGTGTTTTAGTAGAAAGCAAGTAGCTCAAGTTAAAAAGAATATATTTCAAACCTTTG